TGTAGCCCAAAGAGTTTGTTATTCATTCTGATCATGAATCTTTAAATCATATTCGTAGTCAAGGGCAATTGAACCGTAGACATGCTAAATGGGTTGAATTTATTAAATCTTTTCCTTATGTTATTAAGCACAAGAAAGGGAAAGAGAATATTATTGTTGATGCTTTGTCTAGGAGATATACCTTGCTGAATCAACTTGATTACAAAATCTTTAGATTAGAAACAATTAAAGACCAATATGTTAATGATGCTGATTTTAAAGATGTGTTGCTGCATTGATAAAGATGGAAAAGGTTGGAACAAATTCATCTTTAGTGATGGGTTTATGTTTAGAGCTAACAAGCTATGCATTTCAGCTAGTTTCGTTCGTTTGTTGTTGCTGTAGAAAGCGCATGGAGGTGGCTTGATAGGACATTTTAGAGCTAAGAAAACGAAGGACATACTTGCTGGTCATTTCTTTTGGTCAAAGATGAAAAGAGATGTGAAGAGGTTTGTTGCTCGTTGCACGACATGTCAAAAGGCTAAATCATAGTTAAATCCACATGGTTTGTATTTGCCTCTACCTGTTTTTAGTGCTCCTTGGGAATATATTTCTGTGAATTTTGTGTTGGGTTTGCCAAAGACTAGAAAGGGACGTGATAGTATGTTTGTGGTTGTTGATAGATTTTCTAAGATGGCACATTTCATACCCTGTCATAAAACAGATGATGATACTCATATTGCTGATTTGTTCTTTCGAGAAATTATTCGTTTGCATGGTGTGCCCAACACAATTATTTCTGATCGTGATACTAAATTTCTTAGTCATTTTTGGAAGACTTTATGAGAAAAACTAGGGACTAAGCTTTTGTTTTCTACTACATGTCATCCCTAAACCGATGGTCAAACTGAAGTTGTCAATAGAACTTTGTCTACTATGTTAAGGACTATTTTAAAGAAGAACATTAAGATATGGGAAGATTGTTTGTCTCATGTTGAATTTGTTTATAATCGTTCACTGCATTCTACTACAAAGATGTGCCCATTTCAGATTGTATATGGTTTTTTGCCTCATGCTCCTATTGATTTAATGCCTTTGCCATCTTCTAAAAAAACTAAATTTTGATGCTACTAAGTGTGCTGAATTGATGTTAAAACAGCATAAAATAACTAAAGAAAACATAGAGCGTATGAATGCTAAATATAAGTTTGCTGGTGATAAAGGTAGAAAGGAACTAATATTTGAACCTGGAGATTTAGTTTGGTTGCACTTGAGAAATGATAGGTTTCTTGAATTGAGAAAATCTAAATTGATGCCTAGGGCTGCTGGACCATTTAAAGTGTTAGAGAAAATTAATGATAATGCATATAAGCTCGATCTGCCGGTAGATTTTGAGGTTAGTCCTACATTTAACATTGCAGATTTAAAACCATATTTGGAAGAAGAGAAGAGCTTGAGTCAAAAATGACTCAAATGCAAGAAGGAGAGGATGATGAGGACATCAACACCAACACTAACGATACATCCATGCCAACATAAGTACCAATTTCTGGTCCTATTACTCGCGCCCGTGCTCATCAACTTAATCATCAAGTAAGTTCACTCTTGAGTTCCTGTCCATCATATTTAAAACATGAAGACACGTACACTCTTGTTTTGGTTAGGAACCAGGGAGATGACCGAAAGGGAAGAGGATTCGCGCGGGATTCGGACTCTAGGATAGCTCTAACTTGTGATGGTCACCACTGTCGCATACGGACTCGGATTGGGGCGTTCAAGTATTTCTTAGAATCTTTATAGAGTCTATTTTCACATGGATATGGAATCAAGTCCATATTTGTTCTGAGGCGGCCGCAATGATCGAATTACTACCGTGAGATTTTCTATTCAAAGGTGTTGCGTCGTCTTAGTTTGGCCCAATGGGCCGTGTATCAAGTCGGGTCCATTAGGGACGCGTCCTAGGGTTGGAGCACGCCCCCAACACCCTGGTGATCGTCCCTTCATCTTCATATACCCCTTAGCCACCACCAAAAACAGTTGGGTTTTGTTTAGATAAAGTTTAGCTCTCGCTACTTGCTTATAAGCGCACGTGCTGGATCAGCCGCCTGTTTTCTTGTCTTCAGAGCCCCACCTTATTTGAGATTAAGTTTGAAAACCTACATCTTCGTCTAATAAATTCAGTACTTGTTATATTTATTCTTGCTAGTTCTTCGATTGCTTGCAGAACAAGTGCCCTAGTGGCCAGATGACACGCTCCACAAGATCGCGGTAGTCCATTGGAGGTGGTGTATCGATTGCTAAGGCGCAGCTTGAAAGGATGTAGTCGGACCGTGAATGTCGTCTCCATCCATCAATCAAGTTATCCCACGCCTCTTATCGAAAGTTCGAGATTCACCCTTAGCGGGTTCATACCAGCTTTAGATCTATGCTTTTTTTTATAATTAATTCATAAATGCAGTTTCTATGGTCTAATTGTGGTGAATTTTTTATGGCGAAATTCATAGCTTTTTTTATAACTATTGTATGCTTAGACTGTTATAAAAATTTCATAGTCATTGGATAATATATAACTTAGTTATAGATTTATAAATACTTTTTAACAAGTATACACCTAAATAAATCTATAATTAAGTTATACGTGATTCAATGAGTATGAAATTTTTAATACAGTTGAAGCATACAATAATTAGCCCATCATAAAAAATTCATCACAATTGGACCATAGAAACTGCAGCCTATGAATTAATTATAGAAAAAATAGATCTAAAGCTACAACAAAAAATTTATAGTAAAACATACCATATTATATATTCACTGTGTAGATCTACTTATGTGATGTCTAAAAAATTGGATTTTTCATTTTATGATTTTCTATAATTTACTATGATTTTTCAAAAATTCAACCCAAATAAATAAAAAAGAAAAAGATAAAACCGTTTTTGAAATATGCTTATAACCAGTCGGAGAGGTAAAATAAATAGTTTTAAAATTTCAGGAGGCAGGTGGTTTACTCGGTTTTAGAGTTTAGGAAAAATAAACTTTCATAAAAGTTGAGGAGGTACGTGGACTTTTTGCTAAAATATGCCAAATAGGCCCAAAACCAATAGCGTAGATTGTTAAACAAACTCGCCTGGGCAAGCAACCAAACAAGCTCAATCCGCGTGCACCTGCAGAAAAAATTCGGCCCAAAAGCCTATTTGCTGTTTTTCTTCTCTCGTCACCTCGCCTAGATTCGGCGGTTTTCTGTATCAACCGGGCCAGGCTTGCGACCGCCGCCACGGCGCCGCCCTACTCCCAGAATCCCAGCTGCACAGGTCTTCGTCGGACTCTTTGCCGGCGTCCGGCGACGAGCACCCCACCACAGTCCACACACCAGGTATCCCCCGCTCTCCTCTCTTCCGTTCCTTCTATGCAAAACCGAGCACCTGAACCCTATCTTATTTTAATTTTAGCTTCTAGACGCAAGGGTTAATTCAACCCCTGTGTTTTCTCTATTTTGTTCCACTGTTCCTATTCATTCAATCTAGGCTCTGAAAACCGACTTAATTCTGTTTCTGTCCATCGTTAAGTCAGTATTCATTGAAGTTCCACTGAAATTTAAGCAGACTCCGTTCCTTTCATTTCCATTCCAATGAGATTCATCTAACTGAATGAACTTCGTCCAAAGCCTGTATATTCATATCATCTCTCTAGTTGTCATGGGAATTAACAACTGGACCTCTACAAATTAGCATTAAGTAAGAAGTCGAATTTATGCTGTCACAATTACTTTAGTTATTAAATTATTATAATTATGTCATTGCACCATGAATTTAAATTATCAAATTACTCTATTAATTTGTAGAGTTCACATTCCAATATTTCCATAATTTCATTGAAGTTTCACTTTAAGAAATTCAAATTGACCTTTCAGCGATGTTGTTATGATGCAATGATGTTTCAATTATCCTCTGCTTAAGTCAAATAACTCCAGAAATAATATTTTCATTGGAATGTTCTGTAACCCTTTTTTTCAGCTATCCTTGTGAAGCTCTTTCTGGTTAAACTCTGATTCATGTGACACTTTCACCTAAATTAGTTTTGATCCATAACCCTGGCCTAGTTAGATACACATTGGATCAGTTGGATATTATCCACATTATGTGTACCACTTTGTTCATGTAATCTCATGAACATTGTGCCGTGGCAGTTGGCACCCATATCATATCATGGTGCTGAGAGTCTGAGACTATGCTCCATCGCTGGCAGATGGTAATAGCACTTCTAAAGTTCAGGTCCTTATAAAGGGCGTACCCAGTGCAGAGAGCTCCCGCTCTGTGCGGGGTCTGGGGAAGGGTGTCAGTGGCAAGCCTTATCCTCGCCTGTGCAATGCGAGGAGACCACGTCTCGAACCTGGGACCTTCCGGTCACAGGCGGTAAGACTCTACCGCTTGCACCAGGCCCACCCTTCAAAGTTCAGGTCCTTATGAGGATAAAAATAAAAATGGGGTTCATTATGGTATGAACTTGTTGCTTATTGCTAGAGGATTGTGCATAAGTCTATTGGAGTAGTTTGTGATAGTTCTGGCACATGTTCAAAACAGCTAGGCAATAGCAGTGGGGTAAACTTGGGTGGTGTTATGAAATCTGGGCAAAGAGCAAAGCTCAAACTGTGTAGTATTTTTGGGTTACAGCCATCCAGTTAATACACCTCTATTGTCGAGTTGTTAAGCTAGTCTCTTTGTGCTAAATTGGTGTTCAAACTTCAAGGTAGTCATCTTGCAAAAAATGTCATATTTTTTGTATGCAGGTCTTTGTATACTTGGACATATGGTATCAGCTATGAAGCACTTACTGACTGAACTACTTAATTGTTCAACTATAATCTTAATTGCTCTTTTAAATTTGGTTGTTTCTTTGCTTTTGGGAAATCCAAACAGATTTTAATTAGTTTCTGAGGAAAACTCTTTTTAGGGCAGGGAAACCAAAAAATAATCACATCATCTATTTTGTTTTCTACGGCGTTTGTGCAGAAGTGAGGCATGGAGGACGAAGAAAACGTTGAGGAGGAACTGCTGCTTGTGGAGTCAGAACTTGATGACATTCAAGGTATGGTCACAATAATAGTAGTAATGAATCGTGAATCATTCACTACATTATCGTCTCTTGATCCATAAACGCTTAACAGTTGATAGCCATTAATTACTGGTACATCCATCTTTTTTTGTGACTATTCATCTACATCAGCTACTTACTGAAATATTGTTTATATAGATGATAGTGGACATGACAGTTCCTTTGTTTTTTTTACTTCCCTTTTCTTTGGTCATGGAGTGAATTAAGGTTCTATTTAACATCAATGTCATGGGTAGTTGGCTGGGCCTGTTGGGATTACCGCAGTGTGGCCCATTAGTGTTAGGGTTTATTAGAGATAAGGGTCTCTTGAGGAGAGGTATCCATTGAATCGAGCAGAAGAAATAGATCTTACCCCAGTCCCTTCTCCTATCCCGGTCCTTGTGGTCCAGCTGTCGCCTATCGACTGGCTGATGTCGGGCTGCTTGGGTTAGGGCCATCCAGATCAGATCAACATCCATAACATCGAATGAACAGAAGCTAGGTTTTTTGGTCTTACTTTCTTAATTACACTTTTTGAATGCTACTCAGAATTTTGTGGGCAAGGAGTGCTACTGTGTTAATTTGCATGATGGAAATGCATGCTTTCCAGGACAAATTAAAAGATTACTTGACCGCCAAGAGGAGCTGTATGAGCGCCAGTCACAATTAAAGGCTTTGCTGGAAGTATCAAAAGTGTCCAGAAATAAATCAAATTGCAAATCTTCAGTTACTCTGGAAGACTGGTCTGGGAGCTTCCCATGGGATTCTCAGGCTGATGATACCCGATTGAATATATTTGGCATCACATCATACCGGTCAAATCAACGAGAAGTAAGTTTATCGGAGAAATGGTCTGTTTTATAAATTCTTCCTTTTGGGCAATCCTAGGTATAACATAAAAGAGATATGCAAGTTTCTGTTTTATTTTTGAAATCTAGTGTAATTCCTAAAATTACTTCATCACCGAAGAACAGATGTCTGGGTGTTTGGGTTATCTATGATTTTTTTTCTTCAATCCGATTCCTCCAATATACCTATTGTTTTGGTTCTTTATAATAGTTTTATGACTTCCATTCCTCCAACATCCCTATTTTCTTATATTGTTTGTATTTAGTGTTGATCCTATTTTACATCCATAGGCCATATAACATTGGATAGTTTCCTTTTATTTGCATTCTCTTAAGTCATACCGTGCTTACAGATAATTAACGCAGTCATGAGTGGAAGAGATGTTCTGGTAATAATGGCTGCTGGTGGAGGGAAGAGCCTGTGTTACCAACTCCCAGCTGTACTTCGTGATGGAATTGCATTGGTTGTCAGCCCTCTACTTTCTCTTATCCAGGACCAGGTTATTAAGCTGTAAACATCTTTTTTTTCTTGCCTTACCATGCTCGTGTTCATTCTCGGAAAGTTATGCCGCTGTAGGTCATGGGACTGACAGCTTTAGGTATACCAGCATACATGCTGACTTCAACTACCAACAAGGAAGTTGAAAAGTTCATCTATAGGGCACTTGATAAAGGTGAAGGGGAGCTGAAGATACTGTATGTGACACCAGAAAAGATATCAAAAAGTAAAAGGTTCATGTCTAAGGTTGAGAAATGCCATCATGCTGGACGTCTTTCTCTTGTTGCAGTTGATGTGAGTGATGATGAAACTTATCTCTATTAGGCCAGTCTCAATGGGAGTTTCATGTCCCAGTTTCCAACACACCCAGATTTTGGAAACAATGCAGAAGAGTTTCATCCCCATGAAACTATCTCTACTCCCATGAAACTCTTATCACCTCTCTCTTCATCAATACAGCGCCATGTCGGCATATTTAATGCCCATGAAACTCCATGAAATCACCATTAAGATTGGCCTGTCCATATTGCCTGAAATTTTTCCACTCTTAAAAATGGCCTTTTCTGTTTCTTATGTAAGTTGCAAATTCTTAATTTCATTGAGCTATGCAAGATCGAGTGATTCCTTGCAGTTAATTTTTTAGAAATATTAAATCAAAATTATATCGGAATAATAGATTGTTTGCTTCATGACAAAGTACCTTTATGCTTTTTTAGTTTGGACTACGTGTTTGTAATTGCAGTTGCTTACTCTTGGTATCTTTAAGAATTTCCATTGAAACACTAAAGTTTCCTACTGATACTAGAATTGACAGTAGCTAAAAAGCAGTAAGCATGCTATCATAAATTCCTAATCTGATCCCAGCTTTATCAACTCACATAGAAGGAATAATCATCGACAGCTATTCTTTTCACTGTCAACATTTTCAAGCTGTTTATATTATTTATTATACAGTATGTTTCCCATTGCGAGAAGATGCAAAGAACCTGTCAATGCATGAGCATATCTTGTGGCCTTTTCATGTGCTATTTAATCTATCTGTATTCTGGAATCATCATTGTCATTTGCAATTGACAGTTATCATGCAGGAGGCACATTGCTGTAGTCAATGGGGCCATGATTTCCGTCCAGACTACAAGAATCTTAGTATCTTAAAGATCCAATTTCCCAGTGTTCCCATGATAGCTCTAACTGTGAGTAACTGAGTAACGAAGAAATCCTAATAATATTCAAGTTTAGAAAAAAAAGTTGTGTGAACTAGCCTGCAATACATTGCAGGCAACTGCAACAAGTAAAGTCCAAACAGATTTGATAGAGATGCTTCATATACCAAGATGTGTCAAATTTGTCAGCACAGTTAACAGGCCCAACCTCTTCTATAAGGTAGTATATGTCTTCTCTACATCTGCTAGCTTTGATATTTTCTTGTTTATTCTTTATTTAATTACGAGAAAGAGTGCAATGGGGATAAAGAGGAATTAATTATCTTTCTTATATTTACATAATTTCTTTCCATGTAGGTGTATCAAAAATCGCCAGTTGGAAAGGTTGTCATTGATGAGATCGCAAATTTTATAACTGAATCATACCCAAATAATGAATCTGGAATTGTGTATTGCTTTTCAAGGAAGGAATGTGAACAGGTTGGCAGAACAAACCATGAATCACTCTGTTTCTTTTATTTGCTGATAAAGTAATCTTAAAAGTTTTGGTGCCTCCACACAGTGATCAAACTGAGCATAGATAAATCATTGCTAAAAGGATCTATATCTTGGAACTTCGATTTATGAGCAAAACAAATGTTCATAAATTTCACTATTATATTGTTTTGTAATTTTCTGATTATATAGTTAAAGCAAAAAATAATGGGTGCAACTATTCTTGTATTATGTCTTTGAGTTTCTGAAAAGTATATTCCATCTGTTTTATTGATAGAGTAATAATGTATATTTTTTTATTTTTGAATATTGTAATAATTTTTTGCAATATTCAATAGCATATGATTGTCATACCAGTGTATAACTTAAAAAATGATGTTGAGTTTATGTTACTCTATCTGGCTAGTTTTTCCCCCCTCGAACCACTATTCACCTACCCTTCATAAATTATGTGCTTTTTGAGAAATAGGTCGCAAAAGAATTGCGTGATAGGGGTGTTTTGGCAGAGCATTATCACGCTGATATGGATATTGTTGCTCGTGAGAAAATTCACATGCGGTATGTACAGAATTTCCCTTGTATGCTTTTGTTAATTTCTCCAATACAGCAATTGTCCCGTTGCTATGGTGAATGCCCTTAGTGTAACATAGTGTTATAAACTTGGTGACAGCGACTGCTGTACTTTGGCCGTATTCTTGGCATAGATGGTCTAGCTGCTCAGGCAGTGTTGGGTGGTTGGCAGTAGTTAAATGGAAGAGCCTATTGTCACCTTTTAAATGGTGTATACTTGGGCTGGGTGAGCCAATTTTTTTCTCTCGAAAACGTAGGAGAACTGCGCTTCATTATATTTAGAAGAAAAAGGGGGGAGGAGAGTCCCTGATACAACACACACCACACCACCCAAAAATAAAAAATACATACGCTACCTGCAGAAACCAAGAGGCGACCAAGCTATACTAGCTCCAGGCTACAGAAAAAAAAAACTACTGGGGGAAGGGGGGGGGGAGGGGAAGCCAAGAAAGATAGTCCCCGCTCCCCAGCCAAAGCTCACAGCCGACTCTTCTCCAAAGCAGAACCCAAAGCGCCAACCAAGCTGGGAGTAGCTCCATCAAAAACACATCTATTGAGGTGATTCCACAAGGTCCAAGCTCCTAGGATCACAAGAGAGTTGGACCCTTTCCTTGTTAACACAGCAGCGGCATTGCTTGAATTTGCCCACCACAAATCAAAAGAAGAATCTGTAAGCTGTGGACAGAATTGATGGATCCCAAAATGTTGGAGTAGAAAGAACCAGAACTGCCGAGCGAAGACACAAACACCAACAGATGATTAATGGTTTCCTCCTCTTGATCACAGAGAGGGCACTGAGCCGGGTGTGGCAGCCCCTGCCTTGCCAGCCGATCAGCCGTCCAACATCTATCGTGTGCGACCAACCACATGAAGAAACGGCACTTGGGTGGAGCCCAGGATTTCCAGATTCTCTCAAATGGGCCAAAAAGAGTGGATCCTATGAAAAAACCTTCATATGCTGACTTGGCCGAATACTGTCCACTAGAGGAAAAACGCCAAATGTGAGTCTTCAACCTCCGGCCGTAGCTGGAAGTCATAGAGAAGATCCCATAGGTTGAGAAACTCCACTATTACTTCCACTGACGTGTCACCACGAATATCCAGAACCCAAGAACGATCCGTAAGAGCTTGTTCAACTGTGTGTCTATTTGCTGTCCTCTTTGGTATTACAGCAAGAAGATGAGGGGCGAGGTCCGCAATTGATTGGCCATTCAGCCATCTGTCTGTCCAGAAAAGGGTGCGTGCCCTGCTGCCAACTTCAGAGACAACCACTAAACTGAAGAAAGCATGGACCTGTCCAGGAACTTGGACAGGAAAGTTTGCCTAGGGCCTGTGGGGTTCGGTTTTCTGAAGCCAAACCCAGCGCATCCACAGTGCCCATCCAAGACTTTTCAGGTCTGATAATCCCAATCCTCCCAGCTCCGGTGGACGACACGCTTTTCCCCACGCCACAAGACAATGTCCCCCTTTTGCTTCTCTTCTTCCCCTCCAAAGGAATCCTCGTCTGAATTTGTCCACAGCTTTGATGGCCTAGGGAGGGAACTCAATGGCCATAACCAGGTACACTAGCATAGCAGTGAGCACAAATTGTACCTGAACTCTCCTCCCCGCCCTTGTCAAGAGGTCCGCTTTCCAACCAGGCAACTGATCAGCAATCTTATCAATAATGGGCTGGATCTGCGCCTTAGTGAGCTTCTTAAGGGAGAGGGGTAAACCTAAATATTTGCAAGGGAAATCTGATACTGCACAAGGAAGCAGGCTCTGGATGGTGGTCAGTTCCGTGTCACCACATCTGATGGGTAAGACATTGCTCTTTTGTAGGTTGGTTTTAAGTCCTGAAGCATCACCAAAAAGATTGAGAATTTCCATTACCATGTTGATGTCGCCAGCTTCCGGCCTAAGGAACAACACCACATCATCGGCGTAGAGAGAAATCCTGTGCTGCAGTACCCACCTAGATAGGGGCTGCAGGAGCCCCTCATTGGCTGCTCTTGAAATCATGTGTCCTAGGACGTCCATAACCAGGATGAACAACATAGGAGATAGGGGATCACCCTGACGCAATCCGCGCCGGTGAACAATAGAGTCGCCAGGAATCCCATTCAACAAAACCTGTGTGGAAGAGGAAGCCAACAGACTGCTGACTACATCTCTCCAAATCGGCCCAAAGCCCAAATGTTGCAGCACCTCAAGGAGAAAAGGCCACGACACCGAGTCAAAGGCCTTAGATATGTCCAATTTAAGGAGAATTCGTGGCTGTTTTTGCTGATGGAGGAACCTTGCTGTTTGCTGGACCAACATGAAGTTATCTTGGATAAAACGACCCTTAATGAAAGCACTTTGGTTGGGCGACACCAAATGTTGCAGTCGGCTTGCTAGACGATTGGCCAGCAACTTTGTGACCAGCTTAGCAAAACTGTGAACTAGGCTAATAGGCCGGAAATCTTTGTTAGGCCCTACTTAGTGAAGGAAGCATAAGCCTTTTTTGTTTGGTAAACCTTCCCTCTTCAAGTCTTCATCCTTCTTCCACTAGTTTATTTATTTAGACACTGCCACATGCTTGTTATTTCAGTGCTAGCATGCCTTTTTTCTAGCCTCTTCCCCTCCTTCCTCTCTCTTCCCTTAATATGACTGGGCATCCTTAATATGGAAAGGACTGAGCGCTTGCTTGTGGTCATTATGTCATGCCAGTTAATCTCCAGAGAAGACATGGATTCAAACAGGAACTCCAAGTGACAAATCCAACAAGATAATCTTTGCGACAGTTGGCTGGCAGTCGGCTGGGATGCATGGGACTCGACCAAAGGACGTAGCTCCAGTTATTTACATTATCTCCAAGAAGAAAAATAAAATGCTTAGGGAAGTGCTAGAAGGCCTAATTTACATACTAATGTCATGGTAGTCACCTCCTGTAGCCAACCACCTTCATTGCAACCCCAAACTGCTGGATTGCCTTTTTAGCGTCCCTGTTACTTGAAACTCCTTTTGCATTTTATGTCTTCCGTGGTGCGATCTACATAACAAGCGTCTTTTTTTATTGTAAATAGTATTTACTACTCATCAGATTCCAATCTAACTAAAAGAAAGATTGCGTGATGATATGGCTGCTCTCATGTATTTACACAGATTAATAGTAATAGTATTATGAAGATTTTCTATCAATTGCTCTTTGGTTTAGGCCTTTAGAATTTAGAATATATTCATGGTCAAATATTAGAAAGTATGATTGCATGGAATCTAACATGTCGTAGAAGCACTTCAGGGAGCCTTTAAAAAATGTCAATGTCATATAAAAAAGAATACTTTAGGGAGTGTTTCTATAAGAGCTGCTTTATTGCACAAGTTTTTTTTTTTTTTTTTTTTTTTTTTGTAATTCAATGCCATGATTTGGTGCTGAGGTAATTCCCTTTATCTTTTAAACAGTTGGAGCAAAGGACAATCACAGGTCATTGTTGGAACAGTATGTGCTCCTTATATCTCTCTGTGTGTGTGGGTGGGTGGGTGGTGGTGGTTCTGCGCTACTCTCTGTCTCTAATAAGATTTTTGTGTGTGTGTGGTGGATAGGTGGCGTTTGGAATGGGAATCAACAAACCAGATGGTATGTTCAATCTCAGAGTTCGATCATTATGATTGCTTGTTGTCAGAATTCACTTGAATATGTGTATAATTAAGTTTTACAGTATAGTGGAAACAGTACCAGGATTCTTAAACCAGATTAAGGGCCTGTTTGGATACACATAGCTAGTTACTAGTTGGGACTAAAAATTAGCCCAAAGTAGCTATGGTTCGCTAGCTAGTTGGCTAACAACTGGTTGGAGACTTGGCTAAAAAATTAGCCCACCTATTAGCTCTCCTGTTTGGATGCACTAGAACCAATTTTTAGCTAGCTAGTAATTAGCTCAGGTATCCAAACAGGACCTAATTTTGCATTTTATTGGTCACACTACTTGTGTGCAGGACTCCCAAAGAAATTAGAAAACAGAAATGTGAGTGAGGACAAAAATGAATTGCCCTGTATTTGCCAGAAATTACTTGTTTCTGGTCAGCAAACTGAAGGGCGCTGGTCTTCTTGAAATAGTTTCCATACATGGGAAATACTATGCCAGTAATTTACCACTATATCCATGTGTACTTGTTATTCCTGCCCTTACTCGCGGTAATACTGTTTCATAGTCTCTGTTATAGTTTAGTTGAGAATGTTTTAGCCCACATATAAAATGTTCTCGTTCTAGGATATTAGAATGTCAGCTCATCATGTGAAAACATGGATTTTTATGTCAATAAGCATTTCCCTTGAACTGGTACAGACCGATGAGGCAGTAACATTTAATTTCTGCTATCACATGAGTAATGGTTTCTGTATTTGTCATTGCTTTGTTCTCAACAAAGTGTCTAAGAAATGTTTGTTCCTTGTAGTTAGATTTGTGATTCATCATAGCCTTAGCAAGTCTATGGAGACATACTACCAGGTTTGTTAATATCACATCTTGCTATTTACACAGCCAAAAATCCCTTCTAATAAACCTATCTGACTTCAGGAAAGTGGTCGGGCAGGGCGGGATGGATTACCTTCAGAGTGTGTTTTGTATTATCGACCTGGTGATGTTCCACGGCAGGCAAGACAAATTTTTCTGCTTTTCTCTCAGTGTAAGTCTAGTTTTCATCACTATATGTGCTATGTTTTCGATGAACAGAGTTCAATGGTCTTCTATGAAAACTGTGGCCTTCAAAATCTATATGACATTGTGCAATACTGTCAGGTAAGCTCCCATGTTCCTCAGAAATACTATGGCAAATCTTTATAGTGTCTACTGAATTAGTATAAGGTCATCTTCTATTTGATTTCTTTTTTCAAATCCTTCGAACATGAAAATTTATTTATGTCAGTCTCTTTGCTACAAAGAATTGTATATGCTACAAACAACTGTATAATCAAGCCTTTCTTTCAATCACATACCACAATAATACCAGTGGGGCTACCTATCTGGATAGTGATTGTACAGCACTACTATAGGTTGCTGTCACTGAAGTGGCACAAACATGTAGTGGATCAACCTACCTTTCAGAAACTGTGCTAAGTTGAACAGCATGAAGTGTTGACGTAACCATTTCAAATTCTGTGAGTTTGCTAGGTAGCATAGAAACCATGGCAAACAATAGAAGGCTCAGTGGTTCTCAGGAATACAATCTATCAACATAAAATAGGACAATAGCTGGCCATGTAGTGGAAAACAAAATTGTTAAGTTCTACAGTATACTTTCTTTTGATGATGTAGGATTTTTACAACAGAAATTACCTGTCCCATATCCATACTGTTTGTATACAGATAAAAAGCATCAAGTAAAAAGTAATGGACGGAATAACCGTTGTCACAGGCCTTCAGTAGCATAGACATACTGTAAATCTTGTCAGAGACGAAGGGGCCTGTAGCCTAGTGGTTGTAGTGACCTTAGTAGCACCCCAGGTCCTAGTTAGAATCCTCGTGGGAGCGAATTTTTGGCTTGGTAAAAGAAAGATCACTCTCTGGTTCCCCTAGTCAGCATGGGTGGACCGACCTGTGGTGGTTGGGCCCTCGTGTAAGGGTCTAGTGAGTTGGGCCTCAAAGCACAGGTTAAGGCCTGAACCACAGGAGGCAGCATCCCCATGTATGAGGGGGCCCAGCTTTTGTTTGACCTTTCTTGGCTAGGCTTCGGTTGAGCTCTTGCTAGTAAAATACTGTGGGGGCGGTCTTTCCCCGAGACCCCGATTTGGCCGAGTTTTTTCAAAGCTTGTCAGAGGTGATTTGGATGTGATCTCAGAAAATGGCTTAAATAATGTCAAATAGCAGAAATGCTTCTAGCACACTTTCTATTTAAGAAACAATGGATTAAGTTATTTCTGTATAATGTAATGGCAAGGTTTTTGTTTTCCCAGTCTAAGAGCTGCCGACGTGGTGCTTTCTTTCGGCATTTTGGAGAGGCTCTGCAGGACTGCAATGGTTTTTTTCATGATACTATATTTCTCAGGAGCTAAACATTTAGCTATCAATATTTACAGAATTTCTTTTGCAGGAATGTGTGACAATTGTGCTTCTAGTATTGAGCTCAAGAATATAGATGCCACGTGTATGATAATTTTGCCTTAAGTCAGAAATTACATTTAATGGACTATAATTTGAATTTTTTCATCTATTCTTTTTGTTCATATTCCCACATTAGTTTATGTGACTCTTGTTCAGGCCATACCAAAATTCTAGTTTCACTTCTACACGACTTGCAACTTAATGACCAAAGGGCTACACTGTTGCAGCTGGTGGATAAGTTCAAGGTGAAGTGGAAAGGTTTAGGTATATCTCCTCCAGAAAATCTTTCAGTAGTATGTTGTGCCTATTAGGTGTTATGTCATCAGTCACCATCCAGTGGTCTGTTCAGTGTCGTATTGTAAACTGCATATGTTGAAGCAGGTCGCTCGAATCAACCTGTTGATCTTAAAAGAGAAGAAATTGAGCAGTTGATAGTACAGCTTATAGTTGACCGCGTTTTGGTATGTGCGTGCTGCAAGTAGTACCAAGTGAATTTTTTAGTGTATCTTGTTGTTTGATCACCTTATACATTATTGCTAAGGTAAGATTGTTTCTTGCACTTTCAGAAAGAAGAATTTCAACATACAGCATATTCGACCAATGCGTATGTTACATTAGGACCATTGTGGAAGCCAGCACTGGAAGGTAAAATACTGGATCATACTTGTAATACAATATTACTGCCAACTGCTGATGGACTTCTTGGTCTTCGCAATGCAGGGAACCGACCAGTGAAGCTTGAGATTGCTGTTTTGAGTTCTCAAGCTAGAGCTGGAGGTGGTGATACGTCCAAAGGCACAAAACGTAGCCGAATGAGCGATCTGGAAGCTAAACTTGATGAACTGCGCAGGGAGTTGTCGTCCTCTAGTACCGGGGGCATAAGCATATTTCCCCATGCAGTTCTCTCCACTCAGCAGATTTCGCTCCTGAGCTGCCAGAAGCCAACCACTGAGGCCGAGGTGAGGTGTTTGTCATCTCCTTGCATTGCACGCGAGCAATTTGGACCTAACATAACATGATGTGCATTCCATCTGTCCTAACCAGCTAGAGAAGGTCATTGGGAAGGTGAAGACCGAGAAGTATGGCGGCAGGATCATTGAGCTGATGCAGTCCCATATTGCCGATCCAGGGGCTGGTAATGGATCTGATGCTAAGCGGAGGCCCAAGAAAGATAAGGACGTTGTCTGTGTCGAGAGTAGCGACGATGAATAGCATTAGTATGCTTCTACAGCCATTAGAATCCATCGTTGTTCTATTTTTCACATCTATTGGGCATTTTTTTTTCCTACCGTTGCATACAATACAGACAGTGGGATAATCGAATAGCTTGCCAGTAACCAGTGCGTGCAAATGGGCATATCAGTGCATTGCCAGGACATGGGCAGAGTAAATGCTGTGATTGAGCATTTGCTTTTCGTATTGTGGAGGATATCAACTAGAGCGTAGCAGTTGCTTGTGCAGCGTGGAACACCCGCTTGTACACCTTTGCGGTGGTCTGGTGCGCCTTGGCGAGCAGTGTGGTTGCAGTATAAACTTTGCTTCCTTCTCTTATCCTAATTGATTTACTAGATAGAGGCGTAGAGCTCATGCCTTGTTCAGAAAAAGTCAAAAAAAAAAAAAGGAAGGAAAAAAAACAGTAAATAGTCTTCTGCTGAAATGAAAAGCAACCTTGCCAATGGCAAGCGAAGTGTTTGACGGGCACGGCTGGGCTGACGAAGTAGTTTAGCGGAAGCAAGGGCCTCTTTGTTTAAGTTTTGACTTTTTTAAGAGTATGGCTACTACACAACCATGTGTTTTATGCAGTTTTAATACATGATTTTTTTTGCACCATAGAATTAAGATTCAACAGCCTCCATCTTTCTTCTACCTCCAGCCTCCATATATACCACGGATCATAATTTTTTTTCTATGAAAGGATAAATTATAGATCCGCCGCCGCCGAGCTCGCCGGTCACCGGCGCCGGTGGTCACCGGTGAGAAAGAGAGAGAGAGAGATACAAAAAAATCCATGTGTTTTTTTATGCTAAAACACATGTGTGTTGTATAGCATTTCTATTTTTGAAAGAGCTTTGGCTTTCTGTAAGCTGGCTTTTCGAAAGCCGGTGTCTGGCAAAAAGCTGAGGTTGTTTGGCAACCTAGCTTTTCGGATAACATATGTGTTGGACGAGCTGTATAATGTCTAAACTACCTCTGTCTATCTCATTATCCATTCATTTAAAAAGCAATATAAAGTCATTATCTATTCATCCAAAAAAATCAAAAGTGTCATCTACTTTGGACCGAGGGAGTAGTTAGCAGGATTCACGTGGAGCCCACACGTACGAAAAGTAGTCAACAGAATTCATGTGGAGCCCACTCGTATAAAAAGTAAAAACACCGCATGCAACATACTCCCTAGTCCCTACATAATGGTCCCTACATACTGGTAATTCATGTCATTTTAGGGGATGGAGTGTTTTCACATATTGAAGTCGTTTTAGTTGTTTGGTTTCTCGCTTGGAGAGAATGCCCCGTTTCTCGCTTGGAGAGAATGCCCTCACGTCTCTTTGGTTCTTGTCGTACTTATTCACGAGGAGCATTAAAACCATGTCTCTTGGGTTATTGCCTCCGCTCCCTTGTCTCTTCGGTTGCCTCCGCCTCCTCTACCCCATCGCAAACCAAGCGTTGGACCAAACGAGTGCCAAGGGAAAAAAATCTAGCCCCACTAGAGAAACTAAAAATGCGCCAAGCAAATGGAAAAAAAATCGAATCACAATATGCAAAAGGAAAAGAATGGGCGCGAGGGGTCGATCCTTGCTCTTCTTACCTCACCTCAGGCTCCACCACGCTAACCAGCCCAACAGTAAATGTTTGTTCAATCGAAGAAACTTGCAATCCTCTTTAATAAAAGCAAATAGGGAAAATACGTCCTAATTAATCACTCATTGGTATATGACCTGAATTTGGAGGGAGTACTTAAAAAAATTCATTAGGACCCAATGATCCGTCGTCTCTCCTAAAAAAAATACTGCCACACCCTTAGAAAAAGGGTATATCCGCCCTCCGTCCCTCTTCTTTCTCCAACACTAGCGTCCCACCTCCCCCACTCCCTCGTCTCCGGTTGCGGCTGCCTCATGGAGACCGTAGGTGTATTTATAAGAGGAAAATCAAGCGTTGGGATCAGTTTTTGATTTGGGTAGCCGGAACAATGGAAAATTAAGTGTTGGAATCAGTCTTTGATTTGACTAGCCAGAGCAATGGCATGTCGACTCCTAGGCTGTACTCATTAATCGACACGATGGTTTTGATTCGATGAGTGCCTCAATCCATTGCAGGAGCATTTATGACCATTGAGATCAGGAGAAAGTGCACCAAATATGCCGTCTGTTTAGCTGCTTGATGCCATCTCTGTTTGACACGCACACGAGAGCCGCGAGGGAGCTGTGAAGATTTTTCTGATGTATATAGGTAGTAGTAGTTGGGCCATGGTGATGTGGTAGCGTGAGAAGCCAGGAAAATCCTGTATACTTGGTGGTGCAGACACCGGTTGAGAAACCTGGCTACCAAATGGCCTATGGATAATGATTTGCATCACGAGGTAGGTGTATTTTATAAGAGGAAAATCAAGCATTGGAATCAATTTTTGGTTTGGGTAGCCGGAGCAATGGAAAATTAAGTGTTGTTAGTTGTTGATTTGGTAGCCAGAGCAATGGCATGTCGACTCCTTGGCTGGACTCATGAATCCACACGATGATTTGGATTTGATGAGTGCCTCAATCCATTGCAGGAGCATTTATGATCTTGAGATTGGGAGAAAATGCACCGAATATGCCGTCTGTTTAGCTGCTTGATGCCATATGTTCAGCTGTTTGACATGCACACGAGAGCCGCTACGGAGCTGTGAAGATTTTTCTGATGTATAAAGGTTGCAGTAGTTGGGCCCATGGTGACGTCGCAGCGTGAGAAGCCAGGAAAATCCTGAAGTGAGGATCTCCTATTTAGTTATAGAAGATAGAAGATTTGGGTTATATATATCTCTTTCGAGATTTGTGTTAGAAACATGTGTACATCGTTAACCCAATAACGTAAGGTTGGTAAAGGGATTGGATCAGGATACCATCAGACAAGAGGTCACTTTCTAAAGAAATTTATTACTAATTGGGATGCATGTGTCCAAGATAAAAAAAGAGAGAGAATTCCACACACGTCCCTGTTGCTGTGTCGTTTCCCGGAAAACTACGATTTCTTATATACGACTATAAAGTATGATTGGACATACAAGATACAACACAGCTCATGTAACGAACATGATTCAGCTAGGAGAGGCGTGGTAAACTGAGATCGAGCTCACCGGCCGGGTGACATCCGCGCGGCTCCTTACGTACTCTACTCTCTACCAGTCTACCTAGCTCGCTAGCTAGCCATGGCGGCGTCTTGTGTTTCGGATCAAAGGAGAGGCGTGCCCGTGGTAGCTCTGAGTTTGGGCAAGCCGATGGCGCGCATCGGCTTCGGCACAGCGTCGGCGACTCTGGGCCAGGCCGAGGGCCGCGCCGGCGTGACGGAGGCCGTCCTCAGCGCTCTCAGCGCCGGGTACCGCCACTTCGACACGGCCTCGGCGTACAACACGGAGGCCGCGCTCGGCGACGCCGTCATCCAGGCCGTGCGTGACGGGACTGTCGCCTCCCGCGACGACCTCTACATCACGTCGAAGCTCGCGGTCACCGACGCGCACCCCGGCCGTGTTCTGCCGGCGCTCCACAAGTCACTCCGGTTGGTTCTTGCATTGCAACACAACTCATCATCGTCACTGTAGCTATTTGGTTGGTTCTTCTTCATCATAAGAACAAAAAAAGGACGATTTCTTTGCACATGCATGGTTCAATTCGTCAGGAATCTGCAGATGGAGTACGTGGACCTTTATCTCATTCACTTTCCGGTGAGCATGCGGCCGCCGGTGGTGGAAGGAGGCCTGGCGGTAGTGAAGGAGGACCTGGTGGCCTTGGACATGAAGGGTGTGTGGGAGGAGATGGAGGAGTGCCAGAGACGAGGGCTGGCCAGGGCCATCGGCGTCAGCAACTTCAGCTGCAAGAAGCTAGAATACTTGCTATCCTTTGCAAAGATTCCCCCGGCTGCCAACCAGGTGATCCTTTCGTTGATGCCCATTCGATATGGAAAAAAGAAACAAACTGCATGCACGTATTTAAGGTCGCTCATATAAAGTTCTGAGTTCTCTCGAAAAATCGTGTGTAATCAGTAGAATTCCTAACCATTTACCACAGTACAATTCCTGTGTTTGAATAGGTCTCATGGAGAAATCACTAATAAATAATTTTAGTATTTTTTGAGAGAAATTTTACAGTGCTTGGAATTAATGAGAACCCTTCGTTTAATTAGATCGAATGGTTAAAAAATAGGATGAACCAATTGAGAGAACTTAGGACGTCGACCGGAACTAAAATTTAGTGGTCCAGGTACTGGCTCCTAATTAATTTTGAAGGGCAGAATAATACTTTCACGTGTGAGAGATTTCTTCTTACTCGTCCTGATCCATAAAATCCCGCAACCACAAATGCATGCACCGACATTTCAGAATCCACGCCTTCCATTAGGCAGCGGCGAGGCCGGCCGACGATTAGACGTTCGGCAAGAGGAGCCGCGCTGCTGACATGCACAACCTCTCGGATCGGAGATGGTGGGTGCGTGCCTGCGTGGTCCTTGTCTCTCATCGCTCTTTCCGTGGTTGGCCTGTTTGGTATTGATAAGAACGTATGATTCTGACATCGATGAGACTGCAGACTCTCACAGCCAAATAGAGCACGGTCAGCTACAGGGACTCTCCATTCGTGTCATCTTGCTTGGTTCCACGCGTCCGGCAGCGGACTCCGGGCAGGTAGACAACAGCGACCTTGGCCAGGTGGGCAACGGCGACTCTAGGCAGGCGGGCGGCATGAGCGGCACGCTTCTGGCAGCGAGCTCCCGGAAGGCAAGTGAGAAGTGACAACGTGTTTGGTCAGGTGGGAGAAGGCGACTCTAGGCGTGCAGCGACAGGCTACGGGCAGGTAGTCAGGCAGCGGTGATCGGAGCAAAAGCACGAACCGTAGATCGCTTGTTTGATGAGACGAAAACGACTGTTTCATTAGAGTTAATGACTGAAACTAATGTACTAAAATACCCTTAGGCCTGTTTAGATCATTGGAATTGAAATCATTCTAATAATTATAAATTAGACATAGATTAATTAAGCTAATATAGTTATATATGGAATATATTTGTATATTTATTGTTAGGCATATAAAGACATATTTATATGTTGTATTTCTATTATAGGAAGGTGAGTTAAAGAGTGTGTTATAAGTTGGAGAGTAGAATTATAATATAATGATATATAGAATTTATTTTCATTTCCCATCCTATGAACTTGAGATAGACTTATTTGTGAGCTTGAGAAAATTATGGAATGTCAAATTTTAAGCCAAATAGCCTAATTCATTAAGTAGAATTCAATTCCTCCAAAATGAAGAAATCCAAACAGTCCCTTAGTTATAATTAATTAATCAATTGGAGGAACTGTAGGTTCCTCTCAAGCACGGTAACAAACCTCTTTTTCTGATGGTTTCTCCATCTTTTTCACATGTTCTCATTTGGAGAGCAGGTGGAGGTGCACCCACACTGTCGTCAGAACAAGCTAAGGGCATTTTGCAGGGAGAAAGGAATCCAGCTCTGCGCATTCTCACCGCTTGGTGCCAAGGGCACGGCATGGGCTAACAACTCCGTCATGGAGTGCCCTGTCCTCAAGCAGATAGCCCATGAAAAGGGCAAAACCAATTGCGCAGGTAAATATTGCTAAGACGAAATAAAATGGTATCTATTACTCCCTCCATTTTTTTCACATTCACGACAGTTTAGGACAGTGGAATTTGTTTTAGAAACGTCATATACAAAAATGGATAGAGTAGCACACTCTGGCAATGCTCAGAGTACAAATACATTAAGAGCATCACCAATCAATTGGTAAATCAGTGAGTTTTCCAAGTAGCTAAAAAAAGTTAGGAGTATATTTGTTGATCTTCTCCGACAGCATCAAGAATTCTAGACTTTTTAAAGTCACTTTAACTGTTTTTATACTTACTTTCTCTTTTGTATGGAAACACTGTCCTACTCTTTATTCTTCCCCATATCCTTCCACCTTGACCGATCGCTATGCGCAAGTATATTTCCGCATGACACAGTTGATTTTTTCAAGTGAGAAAAGATTAGGAGTTATGATAGAGAGTTGTTGGAGAGCAGTTTTTTTTTTTTCAATCTTGCCAAAAAAAACAACAACATTAGTAGTAGATTTTGTAAACCCGGAGATGCTCTTACCTTTCCATAATTTATTATCCTTTTCGTGTAAAGGATTACTTCCCGCTGCAGAAATAAACTTGAGAAAGGCCATACTTTTAAATTGTATTATAGAAAAATCTTAGGTGCATGATAGTACAAGTGAATGCAAAGATTAAACTTTCGGAACTAGTTATTTACAAACTACTTTCTCCTACCGAGTGCAGGTGTGCATTAGGTGGGTGTTTGAGCAGGGAGATTGCGTCATCGTAAAAAGCTTCAACGATAAGAGGATGCGAGAGAACCTCGACATATTCGGCTGGGAGCTCACGGAAGAAGACCGCCGCAAAATTAGCGGCCTCCCAGAATCGAGGGGAACCTTCGATTTCTTCGTCCATGAGTCCGGGCCATTCAAAACCGCCGAAGAGTTTTGGGATGGTGAAATTGTTGCTGGCCAATCCACTGACCAAATTGCTGTCCGTTTGGATCCGACCAGCTTACAGTAAATGGATTTCCAATTACACAGTCTTGATCGGTGCCGATCTTCTTTCAGTCGAGTTCCATCAATCTAATTCTAACTAAGTTAGATTTCCAGCAAGAATACCATGGACATAAATAATTGCAAGAATGGATCTCCCATGTATCAACGGCATCTTCCTTGCTCTTGCTGGTTAATAGAATAGGCAATCCTATTATTCGCAAAAAAAAGACAATCCTATGAAATGTTGGATTTTAATTGGGCTTGGACCATTTTTATTCAATTAAATAAATCAAACAAAATTTTAAGATTTGTATTAAATGTTAGGTACAACATAATTTAGTCTCATATGAAATTGACTAAATGTTGATCAACTTAAATACTCCCTCTGTTTTTATTTACATGTCACGTTAGCTTTGTCATAAGTCAAACATTACTATCTTTGATCATCCATTTGAAAATCCTCATATTTCAATTATATATTATGAAAGTATTTCTCTTAATGAATCTAGCTAAAAACATAAATCTTATGTCCTGAACTTGCATAATTTTTTTTGAAATCTATGGTTAAAGATATAAATGTTTGACTGATGACAAAGCTAATACAATATGTAAATAAAAACAGAGAGAGTAGATGGTTATTTTTCATATTAGTTGTGTAGGTTATAGAGACGAAAGCATGCCACGTGCCACATGTGTGCCGACATGTGAGCGCACTACGTGCCCCGACTTGGTGCAGGTAGGATGATTTTTGCCACTTGAGCCTGTTCACCGCATTTAGTAACTAACGTTAGTTATGAGTTATGAGTAACATCTGCATGACTAGATGGCTTGGGTTCGCTTGCAAACATAACCTCAAGTGCCCACGCTTCTCTGCTGTCGCTGCTCTCTGAGTCTCTGTCATCCCAAGAACACCTCCACGCACAGGCTTTTGGATGAGCAGGCCTGGTACTCTGTCTGCAGTGATACTAGCATGGGTAGCGAGCGAAGCTTTTTGAGCCTTTTATTTGGGTGCCATCATAAAAAAAAATGGTATTGACCTACGAGCCACTAAAAAAATCAAACGCACTCTGATGCCACTGCGCTTAACTCTTTTGTCCAACACACCATTCCATCTCCATTCTATTTGGTTTTGACCGATTGGGAGCCCTTACATGTGGGACCGGGCAGATAAAATGTCCATCTTGCCCTTTCAGTCACCGGGCATATGTGGAGGCCGTGTTGACCGATATTGACCGGCATCTCCCTCATTCTCTCACTCTGTCTTCTCGCTCGACTCCTCTGTCTCGTTCCCAAACCCTAGCGGCAGCGGATCTGGCGGTGGCGGGGAGACAAGACGACGAATCCCCTGTGCTTGTGGCGGCGCATGGGGTAGTGGAGCGTGGATTTGACCGTGATTTCAGAGGATAGGCATCACATGGCGGGGAACAATGGCATGGCGACCGGATTGGCTTCCAGACGGGTGACTTCACTGCTTCCCCCCTTGGTTGCGTGGTCTTAGGTCACCTTGACTATTTCAATCGGGCTCATTTTGATTGATGTATTGCTATTTAGTGCCCTGCGCTTGTGCCCCATGTTTATAGTGTTGATTGCGTGTTCCTTGTTCATCTGTAGGATGGACACATACAATAGCTTCAACTTAGAAATCCGGATTTGTTGCTCCCAATTCTCGTGCGCGGTGATTTTCGTTGAACAAAGTGATGGATGCTAACCACACTAACTTCAGAGACCTGGTTGCTGAAGTTGTCGACAAGTATCCTCATGACTACGATGACATAGTGAGACTGTTTTTTTTCTACATGGATAGTAAGGTCAACATCCAAGTCTGCACTGACCAAGATTTGGTTGAAATGTTTGCAAAACATAAGGATTGTGGTAGCACTATCCACTATGTTGAACCCCCATTCACCCCTTCAATTGCTTGTCCAAGCTTAGCAGAACCAAGCCATGCCACACACACTCAATCAAACTTGAATACCTAGCTAAACAAAACCCAATGAATGAGCATGTGGGTGTTGATGAGTTTGGTTTTTATATTGACCTCAAAGGCAAGGTGGCAATGAAAGGGAGGCTGAGAGTTCTGGTGCTGACACATGTGTTGACACCTGTGGTGGCACACAAAGACAAAATCCGCAAGCGCACAGGTATCGAAGTAGTTTTCACCCGGAGTATTATCGAGTATCATATCCATAGGGAAACGTGTGTATGTCATCTAAACACTAGTTTGTTGAGGGATAGCAATAAAGGTTTAAGGTATGAGTAGAGAGGATTCCTATGGTTATGACCCTATGCAAAGCAAGGCTTATGATTCTAGTATTCACTTATGGATGCCGCTTAGATGGTAAAGCACCGCTAAAAGAGATAACTCTACCGACGCGACTATGGTTCTACTAATTTAAGAACCTACTCAATTCGGAGTGGACTATAGAGGATAGATGGGGCTGTCACCACCCACTACTTCCATGCAATCAGAGAGCAGGGAGTAAACACAGGTAGCCGATAGCCTAAGCACCACGCTTATGCTAACGAATATTACTCTAATCCAGCTAGCAAGAACTAGAGTATTCAAAAGAACTGTGAACCCGTGAACAAAAGAGCACAATACTTAATTTAAATAGAAATCAATTACCATAAGTATTTCAGATGTAGACTTGGAGAAGCCTAGATCCATCAAAGTACAAGCCGTGCAGGTAGCATCGACATGCCGGTACTTCCTCCAAACTCTTCCATTACTCTCTCTATATTGTGTACAAAGAATAGATCCTAACTAGAGGACTAATCTCTCTTGATGCCCTAATCCTGAGATGAGTATATGAATTATGATTTTAGGGTGGCCTCAGGGAGGGGGTAGGGGCTGCTATATATAGGGGGAACCATTAATTCTGAGCCCTTAGATCAAACTAACTTGAAACAATGGTGTATATTTGATCTTTAAGGCGGTGGAAAATTGACATATGAAGGAGGGACTAACTGGTGGACCCACTGGGCCGGCCGGCTTACAGGTGGGGCCAACCGGCCCCACATGTCATCCTCTCGAGGTCTTCTTCCGTGGGTTGTCTTCTGGTGTCTTTTAGAGTCTTCCTAAGTCGGTACCGTAGTGGATAAATATGATTTACTTTGACGAATAGGTCTCCCTTGATGGTTTTCTAATTAAATCCTGCTTAAAACATAGATTCATCAAAACTCGTGGAATTTGTTAATTGAAACCCCTAAACCTATGTTTGGGGATGGAATTAAGTACATATGTAGGTTTTGTTGATGGTTTATAATTGATGTTAACAACCATCAACAATCTCCCCACACTTAACCTTCGCTCATCCCTGAGCAAAGCTAAACTCAGCAATAGATCGGGAGTTGCTTATAATGCTTTCATGACTCAAAAGTACACAATGCGTTTAATCAAAAATTCTCCTCTAGATTAGAATAAACCAATCTAACTTTCAAACTTACCCATATTACCTTTAACCATGGAGCTTCTTAGCCTTCACTTGGGTCTTGAGCAATTGAAAGACAAAATGATCAAGTCAAGCACTATGTCTCAAGTTCTTTGTTCCACCATTGTTCCGGAGTTTTTATAAATTTTTAAAATAAAACTCATATATTTCATTGGATGACACTCTCAAGTCTCTTAATATATATGGTATTTGTGGATCCTCACCAAGGCAATAATGATATTATGCATTTTTCTTTCCTACAACTAAAGCTTATGTGGAGTTCATAGGTAGGGAGAAAGCTGGAGCATACTTGCAATGCATATATTGTAAAGTCAAACAACGGATCCAAAGAGAGTTGAGTCATACAATCAAATCAAGATGTGCATGTGTGTGAATATATGAGGTGGATATATGTGGTGGCTAACATAATTCTACTTTGCTCCTTGAAATATATCTCTCTTGAAACTTAGAAATATTTTTGCAAGAGAACATGGGCTATCTTATTCATCTCTTTCTTTTTTTCTTCTTTCTTTTTTTTCAAGGGCATTTAAGTACCCATTGTTTTCAATATCTCGAAACTTTTGTGTCCATTTTTTCTCAATTCTCTTTTTTTTCATGAATAACTTTTGTATAGCCCCATGTCTCTTTTTCTACAACAAAACTTTGAGAGATAGCTTAAAAAACTTGGAGCATTAATTTGGTGGATGGAAAACCTAACACACATGTTTTATTGTTCACTCCTTGTATAGGAGTAGAACATTTTTGGGTGGATCTAAATAGAATTGCATGTTTTTGACGCCTACCCCAGTGTAGGAGTAGTGCATATTTGGGTGGTGTGTACGTGATCTTGATTTTAAGAGCATGACAAACCTGACATAAGGGTCAACAAAGCTTGATAAAACTCAATGAAAAACAAGTAGCTTATATGTGGAAGTTTTCTAGTCTAAATAACATGTATATGCTCTGGTGAGAATTCAAGCTTTGTCATATAGGAACTCATCATAAAGCATTTTTATGTTTTTCAAAAATAAACCTCCAAAACTTTAGTATCACTTGGAACAAGATAAACAATAGCTCAGACCTTCTTATATCATATCCATCAATTATCTAGACTTAGATCAAGCATATGCTACCCTCGAGTTTTAAGTTCAAAGTAAATCCTTATATCAAAACAATTTTATCTAAAACTCGAGATAATTCAAGGCTGAAAACTAGGTACTTGAAAGGAATTACAACAGAACAACTATTCATCATTTCCATTTTAAGAGATTAACTCTAGAGTCTCTTTTTATTTATTTAGCTCTTAAAAGAAATCAAAGCAAACTAGACACACTCTTTTTATTTTGTTTTCATTTTTACTATCATAGGGATAACTATTTATTGTATTCTTTTTTATAAATCAAATAATAACAGTTTAGCTCAGCAGCAAACCACTAACAGAGTTCACATATCAAGCCGTCAAAATTTCACATCAAAATAGCAAACAAACCACATGTTCACTGCATCAACAAGACTAAGAGTTACCAGCGCTTAAGAGTAAGATATGCTCACGGAGCTTATTGTACTCCTCCTTGTTGCTATTTTTGAACTCCTC